AAGGACTGGAATACAGCGCAATATACAAAAAGGAGGTTTTTTCAGCCCTCTGAGGCTTGCGATCAAGGTTTTGAAAGTTATTTTCAGAAGTAGCCTTCCTTAGCAGACATTTTCTGGGATGCAGTCAGTGTTCGACTTGCCAGGTGCCTGATGTGCAATGCAGCGACGTTACCAGGCTGATTACTTGGATGGCTCTGAAGTGAAGGCATCTGGTTAGGACTGCTGGCTAGTCAGAAGACAAGACACTAATTAAATATTTCTTGTCTTTTCAGGTTTGTCCCTCTGATTAGCCACTCTAAAAATCACTTCAGGGAAAACCACAAAGTTATCTTTAAAATGGAGAGGCATGATTAAACATTCCTCTGCTAACAAAAAAAAAAAAATTAAAAAGCAAAGCAATCAGGTCCAGCAAGTCTAGCAGGTTATTGCTGTATTCAAACTAACTCTTCACCCTGTCACTCTGGCAGAGGGAAGCACGAGCTATCCGGAAATTGCCAAAGAATCTCATTGACACACACCATTTGATCAAGTTTACTTGTTTTCCCAAGCTAAATTTGCTATCAGATACATATCTATATCCACACACATAGATGGATATCTATTGGGCATCTTATTCTTTAAGGCAAACCATATTCTGGAATGTTACATACACCAGACCTATAGTAGAGATTAGTAAACTGTTACCATTACTAGTTTCTTACACTTGAACATTTCACCTTGTTTTCAGTGAAAACAATTCCAACATGCCAATGTACAGAGCACCAGAGCTCTAATTTTATTCTTCCAAGTAACATGGATGCTGACTAGAAAGCTACCTTAACGATCAGCATTTCCACTGGTCTTTTACCAAAGCCATAGTGGGTTTGGGGGGGATCTTTTCCCCTCTTTCTTATTAGCCAATGCCTGGGAGGTCTTTACTCATAAAATTTCCTTGCTTGCTACTGGCAAAATTAAAGCTTTAATACCACAACAAGATCTATGCTAAGTTCACGGTGTCACAGACTTGTTCTGTGACCTTTGACAAAGTACTTTATCACAAGCATTTATACGACTGTGGTTTCAGCAATATATTTATAGGGTCCTACACATTGCAAGAGAAACCTCCTTCATCAGTGAAAGTGTAACATAATTAGCGTCAGTTCACCACTAACGTAAAAATTGCAGGTAATGCTTTCATTTCTTATATTTCATCTTCAGTTCTTCTATTTCATAATCTAAAAGTCCTTGTGGTCTCCTAAAGGATGCATGCTATTGTACACAAAACCTGCACGACAGCCTCCAGTTGTAACAAGGGCCCCTATGAAAATATAAATATCCTTTGGCAGGATTTTTTAAATTAAATAGTATTTCTGGAAAAATACTTCTATCTCCTGACAGGGGTACTCTCAGGTAGACTAAGTCTGAAAGCAAAAAATACTGTTAGATTTGCTAGCTATGGCAAAGGACATAGTATAGCACATTGCAGGTTTTTAACCCCAGATTGGCTGTAAAGCTTCAAATGTTTAAGTTGTTTGCTTTGATTTCATAGCCTCTATAACCTTTAAGTTATTGGCAAGATTTCTGCAGACCAAAAGCTCAAAAGTCTTATGTCGGAGGTACCCCCAAATTTCTCTGTTTGGAATTAAAATAAAATTCTGTAACGTTCTCTGGGAAAAGAAACCCTCAATGATATATAACATATATAACTGCTCTCCAAGCCCACATCTATATTTGAATGTCCTTGTGACAAGACCTTAAGGTATTCAGAGGAGTGAGATGGAGCCGCTTTTACCTTTTGCTTAAAGCGCTCCAAAAACACCAACAGCCCTTTTGATCTTCAAAGGTAGCGTTATCGGACTGCAGACTACAGCAGGATAAAGAAAACGCAGTTCTGCTACGTGAAACACGGAAATTGCAAACAAATCTCCTCCCTGCTCATTATGTCTGTGCATGGCGCAGCCTTTCTTCTTCCCTTGCTCTCAGTCCAGCAGGGTTGCCCAAAGTTACAACAATCTGTAGCTACAGAGGCTCCTTTGGATCCCTAGGAAGTTCTTCTTTTTCTCTTCCCCTTTGAAACTCAGATGTGAGTCTTTCTACAACTCTTCTCCACATCCCCACTTGTGCTGCGAAATCCCAGCTCGCTGTCTCCTTCCTGCCTAACTCCTCCCCTGGGAACTTCCCAAATGAGCTCGCTCAGGTGCTTTCTGGCACCGTCTTTGCCTCACCCCCCAAAAACCCTCAGTCAGGCTCAATATTTGGTGGCAGACAGGACAATGCAAGGAAACGGTCCTTCTCCTGCTGCATAGCTAAGTCCTTTTATCAGAAAGGCCAGCAAAATACAGTGAAGGGTGATGGAACACGCACAAAATCTCCATCAGAGCTTAAAAAAACCAGTGATGTGCGTTTCGGGCAGTGCTGAGACAGTTCACCCAACAGAAACCTCTTCCCGTGGTGTCTATATTGCTACCAAAAAAGTCCCTTATACCAGTGAATACATTTAATTGTGCATCTCACTAATACCAGACACTAGGTCCTATTTTGTATATTCACAACTTTTCTGCTTAGTACAGAGGAGCCATTTCTGTAAAATTAAGTTGAATCTTACTTTTGGTGCGTGATGCTGCTGTTTGTACAGAACTAGCATTGAGGGGTCTCTCTCAAATGCATTGTTCTACTGCAGAAATGCTAAGCAAAAAAATCAGGAGAGAGTCTGGGACATGGAAAGTATACAGCCTAGATGGTCACAAACACAGGCACATACCTTTAAAATATTATTCTGATTTTTTGAGATTAAAGATGGAGTTGTTATTCATTTCCTTGAACTCTTACTCTGAGATGTCTTAGAGAAGATTTGGCAGAACCCAATCTTCACCGTATTTAAACATATTTTCTGAATCCTTATCTGTTCAGATATGGTTTACAGAGACTCATGTCTTGGTTTTTGTCACAGATAACTGAGGGGTTACACAGGTCTAAACATAATTCTTCATATCAGCAGTAAGACTCGAGGAAACTCTGAATTGCGGCACTTTATACTGAAGGGATCCCTAAATGATTCTTCTCACAATCATTCAAGAACTTGAAAGTCCAGGGAGTAGCCTCAAATCTCTCATTCCCATAAATTTAACAGAGGTCACAGCATGGCCAATTCAGCTGAAAAGTGTTATTACAGAAAAACTTGATGATACTTTTATGTTCACTGATGTGAACATAATTCTCTGGGTCTTTTAGCTACATATAGCATGCCTTATCCATAGAGACACTTCAGCAGATATATATACGGTACCATGAGCAAAGTTAAAAGTGATGAATTCTCTGATTTATAACTTCTACTGATAACAAGATGATAGAAAATCTTAAATGTATGGGTTTTATTATATACACTGTGTAACTTCGCTCAGCAGAGGAGGGATGCGAAAGAAAAAAAATACATTTATTACACCTGAACTAGGAGGACACTTTGTTGAATGACCCTTGTTGCCTGTAAAGAATTGAGCCGATCTCTAACCAATGCACAAAAATCTTAAAGACAGGGTTAGCTTTGTAGGTGCTAAGTGTGGATGTGAGTCTATAATCCTTCTTGCTTTTAGGGATCACACACGGGAAGATGCATATATAGAAGCGCTTTTTTTTCCTTGACAGATTTAATCTTCTAAAGAGATCTCAAATTGCTGAGTTGACATTGCACCTCCTAAAGATCAACCACTGGATTTTAACTATGTGGACGCAAGAAACTAATTATTATAAGTAAACTCATTAGCGATGAGGAGCTAGACAAACAGGCCAGATCCTCCTCTTTCCATTTTAAAGCTCTGGTGACTGGCAAAACTGGCTCAAGTGAGAGTCCCTTGGTTATACCCCATTTAAAGCAGAGGCTGCGTTCATCCACATTAGGCTGCAGCTCAGTGCCGTAAGGGTCCTCAGCACTGGTCTGCTTGCGATCCGAGAGTTTAAGCACACAGCCTAGATAAATATTAATTTGTTAATCGTTATTAGAAATCTACTTTTCAAGCTGATTCACAGTGAAGTCACTTAGTCAGATGAAATCACTGCACACTAAACAATCCTGTTAGGGATGTTTATCCAAGCAAAGGACATTCAATTGCATTTTCATTAGTAGCGCTATATGGTTATTGTCCTTACAGACAGGACTCTTAGATTTCATCTATTTGCTTACAGTTGAATTTTCTTAAGAACTAAAAGCTAATTTTTACTACTTTTTGGCATTACAAAATCAGGGTGCCTGTAGATTAATAAAACAGATTTGAGGACTGAAAGTATCACAGCTCTGTCAGTGCTGAGGACTCTGAAATTTTAAGGAGTTGTGGGTTATCTAATTCTAATGATGCACATTATTGAACAGAACATTATTTAATGAGAAAGCCACTGGCTGTGATGAACACCAGGCAATTTATCAGGGAGAGTATTTTTTAAAAAAACAGAAAATATGATGTTTCTCCCTGCCAAATTCTATATGGCTCAAGAAGATGGGAAAGACAGTTGATCTCATTCTCTTTACTTTTTATAGCAGTTTTCTGGAAGGACAAGTCCTCCCATAAAACAAGGGGGAGAGTTTCCAGTTTCCTTGCCTTGTACCACTCTCTGCTGTCCTACCCGTGGGACAAAGGCAGCAGAGCCCAAGGCAGAGTTCACCACTGGCTTGTTGAAACAAGTAAATAGCTGTCTGAGACTCCTCCTTCAGCCACAAATTTTGGGAGCCTGAAGCTGAGCCTTTATTTTTGAAAATGGGGAAAAATATAGTTTCTTTCCTAACAGTGCTTTTTAGTTTTTAGCTTATTATCTGTGCTCTTTACTATCTCTTTCAGGAAGACGACACTGCATTTTATATTATGTTCACATGTATTTGTACTGATTTTTGTAGTGCTAACTCTGGTTAAAGTCAGGGTATATTTTACTTAGAAGTGAGTTTTCTCCATTTATCAGTTACAAAAAAAAAGCATTTCTAGCTAACAAAAGGTGTATTATAACATTAGTAAATAACATTTTTGTTTATCGTACAGCTTTGCAGTAAAGGTGCTGCTCTAGACAATCCCTTTAAGTCATCTCCAGAAGATGTTTCCAGTATTGCCAGTTTTATTGAGACAAAGCTTGTAACCTGCTACTTAAAACTGAAGAAGCCTGATGATGCTCTGAATCATGCGCACAGGTAAAAATAAATATTGATTAGATACACTGCTAAGACTGAAATCAAAAATTAAACAAAGACTAAAAAAAGGTCCAGTGCAGAAAGACTCAGTCTAATAATGAGAAAAGAGGAATCAATAAAACACAGCTTACACATGGCACTGTGTTTAGGTTGGACCAATTCTCAAAATTTAAGACACAATAGCCACCTATACATTTACTGCTTGGATAATGCAGTAGGGAAGGATGCGCAGGTGAGTCACGTGCATAGTTCAGGGCACCCTTGAGATTGAAGGCAGACAAATATAAACATGCTCAGCCTTCTATGACAGTAATGATGTTATAAGCTCTTGATCTTTTTCAAGCCAGATTAGGTCAGGGATGGCTTCAAATTATTTTCATTACATAATTCCTCATGGGCTCACTTGTGATCCACATCAAAGACCAGCACCACCAGCAACGCATAAAGAAGCCAGAAACAAAACTTGCACATGGTGGAGATGAAATTCCTATTAGTTTCAGATGAGTGAGGATTTTGCTGGGTTTGTGCTGCCTTTAATTATCATTCAGGCATAACAATAGTTTCTGTTAGCCACGTGCATGTCCTGCCAGCAACACTTCATTACCACGATCTCTGTTCACTTTTCCCTTGCACGAGATGTAGCAGGACGGACACTGCTAGTAGCACAGGACAAGGATTTTTTCATACAATCATCTCGAATGTAACTACAAAAAGAGTAGTTACAACAAAAGAGGAGGCACATGCTTGCACCTAACGCACAGGAGACTGTGGTGAAGAATAATGCATTGGTGTAGAAATGTGATGCCATCGTGGCAGCAGGTTCACTCGGCTACATGCATGTCATGGGAAGTCTGAGAATCCTGACTTGATGACAAGGTCTTCACCTCCTGTCCCCCATCCCTTTCCCAAGGGGGAAAGTTCCAAGTACCACCTGGGTTGGGGGCCTGAATGCCCACGAGTGGGTAGAGAGCAGGCAGAGAACATCTAATGGGCACACAAACCATGGTCCTTTCAGGTGGAGTATTCTGTTAGGTGAGCCAAAGCATAGGAAGTGGGGAAGACCGAGATTCCCGTTAAAAGTAAAAACCCAACAACAACAAAAATGCACTCCTCATGCAAACTAAAAACCAAACGCATTTTTTCCATGGCTTCTCAAAGACCATGTTAGAAAAGAAAGATATAAAGTTTGACTTCGAGCTTTTGGAAAAATGATAACAATAGCTCTCTTATTCCAACTGTGATTTCCAAGAACACTAAAATAAGGAAGCTATTTGAACAGCATAAATATAACTAGAACAGGAAATACTTTTCTTTACCTCCTTTAAATTATCTTGATTTCAAAACAGTAAGATGTCTTGACCCCAGCAGTATAGAAACCAAAGCCTATTCAGACATGCTTTGATTTCAATTGTCTTAAAACAGAAACCATGACCTACAGAAACCCATGACCTACAGAGCAAATAAATGCAGTTAGATTGAGATAACTGGAAAACTGAAGTAGGGAAAAAATCTTCACTCTTCTTCCTTATATATAACAATTTGTTAGCTCCTTTAGTTACATAGCACAAGAAAAGTGGCAATCAGTACTGCCTATTTTCAATACAATTCATTTAATAACTCACAGAATGGGAATAAGTCTACTGACCATGGTTGTCATATTTTAAAATGCAGGACCTCATACAAGAGTATACCAGTTAAAAAAAAATATTCTGAGGCATAATTAACATAAAGATAAAACTTGAAATATAATCAATAGCTATATTTTTCAAAAAGAACAAATAAATTACTCCAAGCTCTCCTACTAAAAATAGCTTACTGCTATCAGTGAACTAGTGCATACAGAATTTTTATTCCCATTGAGTTTTTGTGTCATCACCACATTGTAATGGTTTGCTGGTAATCCTTTGGCATTAATCATGAATCCAAATTAAAATATTCATTTCTGCATTTATTTGCATTTACTGAACTATTCTTTCTTTAATTTCATGTAAATTTCACAGCTCCTGCATTCATTTCTGAAGCCTTATTAACCAAAAATCAGCTTTAATATTCTCACACATAGTTGTATCAAATATATAGAAGTGGGTTTTGCCAGGAAGAAATCTTACAAAATATCCCAACTAGAGAAATAGAGAAAAATTCCAGCAGCTCAGTTTTAAAGTGGTCAAGAACAGGCATCTTCAGGGGAATAGCTTTCCCATTCTCAAGAAAGCAAAAGGAGCACAATTTATATCATCAGCTTTAGATCCTGTATGAGAAGCCAAGTCTGTCCTCCTGAAGAGCGGCAATTGTATTCTCTGGTTTCTTAATATCAAAATTTAAGGCTGCCTTTAGCATCACTGGCACAATTGAGGACACCGGCTGGGTTCTGATCATTTGTCAGGCGGATACAAAAGATTTACCCTTTGCAATCAAACACTATTAAAACCACTTCTCATCTGTCACAGCTCTGAACAAACGTGCCATGGATTGACCTCACCAAGCAACATCTGCAGTAACCTACTTGACCACCACTTTTCATCATAAGATAGCCATCAAAATAATTCCTAACTTGCAGTCTGAAGCTATAAAATGAATCACACAATATTTACATGCCCTGTGGTCCTTTTGGCCCAGGCATTATGGCATACCAGGGTTTAATGATCTTAATAACCCCATATGGCTTGCTGAGAAATTAGATTTTCCCTTTGGTTGCAGAAGGCAATTTTCTATTATAGCAGATGGCAAAACAGTGAAGGTCTGAGAAGTCAAGAACTGACTAAGAAACCTCAGATTAGTACTTAGGCCTTATGTTGCTCAACCTAATAATGTCAGTGGTTGAATTTTTGCCCCAAATGAAAGCAATCTTGCAGCAGAGCACAGCATTTCAGCAGAGTAGTCCCCCAGTTACACCTGCTCTTCAGAGGGCCAGGCCCAACAGAGAAATCCCATAAAGCTACAGTCGTATGTGGAAAAAACAACCCACGGTGCATCATGTACGCAGCTCGGCAGCTGTTAAGATTCAATTTTGTTTGAAATTGGAGATAGCGATGCTGAACTCCATGACAATTGAAGATGGAGGATCCTTCAAAACATGATACACACGACTTTCGAGGAGACTCTGGATCCTCTTACAGTTCCTTTGTTTATTTTGCTTTTTTCCTCCAAGAGAGCTAAAATTAATCTACCTTGACACCATGTGACTTGCTGTTTGCACAGGGGAAAATAACACAGAACCTTTCTATTGGAAATATGGTTTTTGCTGCTGTACTTAGACTTCTTCAACTGCTACGGTCCTCATGGCACACAAGATTTGAGGAATGACAGACACGTGGCTTGATCCAGTTGCCTAAACGTAGACTGCTGTTCGTAGACATCCTGTACGTGGATCAAGTACTAGAAAATGTGGAAGAGAGATGTCACCTATCCAGCAGCAAGTGACAAAAAGCATTTTGTTTTATTTCTGCCTACTTTCGATCACTCCCTGCCCAGCTGTAGCATGGCTGCTGGTGCCATAGGACTCCTCGGGAAACCAGCTCCTCAGCAGGGGACCAAGGCTGCCCACCGTGGGTGAAAAGTCACGCCTCCTCCCACTGGGATTGCCATCATGCCACAGGAAGCCCACAGTTGGTGGTGGGAGGTGCGTTGGGATTGCCATCTGGAAGGATATTTGCCACCTGCCTCCTCCCAGAGCATTCCCGGGCTTCGCTCCCTGCCCTCCTTCCCTCGATATGGAAATTGTGGGCATAAGGGCCAAGAGGAAGAGGAACCAGACATTGTGGCATCTTTCTTTAACATTCTAAGTAAAGCCTGAAAAATATGTTCGTGATAATAGGGGCTGCTGTACAGAGCTATTCTAAATCTTTGGGGGTTAGCAAAGATTTTCCTGTGTCCTTGCAGATTCTGCTCCACAGCACGACCCGCTGCCAATTCTCTCCCTCCCTCACAGAAAGGCAATGCATAGAGAACGTCATAAATCTGTAAAGCTTTTTCTCCTGTGCCTTTTTATGTGTTTGGTAGAAGGCAGGGCTCCAATGCCTCTTGCACAATTCATAGGGAGACACATGAAGTAGAAAATAGCACCTCTGTTAGGTAGCACACAATTGCTTTAGTGATGACTTAACAGAGAGAATCTCTTACAGAGGCACAGTGAGGAAAAAAAAAAAAATCAAAAACAGCTGAAGTCTTATCGATTTAATTCCAAATCTTCTGCATTTTTTCCCCAGTGACTTTTCAAACACCTATAAAAGGTTTAAAATAATTATTAATGATCAAGCTTTATGTAATATCTGTCAGAAAAAATAGGCATCTCAAAACTTGGTCAGTGTATTATAGACAGGATAAAGCAGGACTCTCTAATCTGGATTAATTCAGAACTTTCAGACTAAAAAGTCAATTTTCAGCTATTCCTTATTTTGCACCTTTAAAATAGGATTATATTAAAATGAGTTGAAGAATGGAATTCTAGTGAAATATTAAATAATCAAAAATAAATAATGCAATGATGCTATGATATAGTGCAGTCAGTGGGCATTAAAATGGAGACAGAATAATAAAGCTCAAGAAGAACACAGATTTTTAGGTGGAATTAGGAAAAAGAGAAACATAATGGCTGATGCTGCTCATCTGTGGGAAGTCTGTAGTGTAATGCATACTTCACTTTAAACTACTCTCCTAGTCTCTTTACCTCCTCAGAAAAGGGAAGAAAGAAAATTAGCAGCACCTAATTACTTCAGCAATTGTGTTAGGCATATTGCAATATACATAATAGATGAGATATTATTAATACAAAGCTATTCCATTGAGATGCTCTGGATAATATAAACCAGAAATACTCTTAAAATAATTCTCTCTCATGCAGCATTTCAAATATTTCTCTGTAATTCAAGTTTTTATTACTTTTTAAATGAGAAGTCTTTTCTATGGATTGTGATACTCGACTCAATCATATGTTATTTCCAGGTTGGTCTATCAGTGACATAGTTCCTATTTTATGGGCTGAGACTTCCTCCATTGGGGTC